GAACTTAAACCTGGCCTCAAAGTCTTTGATGGACTCGGTCACCCATAATATCAGCTGCATAAGTGGTAGCTATTTCTGCTGATGCTATTTATGAGTAGTAATAATGAAATCAACACAATCGAGACCAGAAATGCCATGTGCCCTCAGAGAGAAAGTGCTGTTGGATCCAAGGGAGAAAGATACAATTTCTTGCTACCAGGTGCATGGAAGTCCCCCCAGAGAAAGCGGCATATGAACCACAATGAAAGAAGGCAGGAGGGCACCCACAGGTGGTGTATGGTTAATGTGACTGGACTTCCACATGGTTGACTATGGTTTGAGTCTTGAACCTGGCAGCTTGCTTTCTCACTTTTCTTCTCTCTCTGGTCAACATCAATAATTTTTTTTTAATTAAAATAATTGCAATGAATACATTTTTTTTAAAAAAAAAAAAGAAGAAAGAAAGATGGAGGTTGAGAGGTCCACCCACCCGCACCCTCAATGAGCTGTCACCTGTACATGATGATGTTCATGTAGCAACTGTCCCTCTGGAAACAGGGGCTCAGCAGGATGTCGTCCCCTCGGGTGAAGCGCACCTCCACGGGGTAGTGGGCCACCACGTTGGGGTGGGCCTCCAGCATGGTCTTCAGCTCCAGTAGGGCCTCCTTGGTCTTCTCCCTGTGCTCAGCCCAGAGGGGGACAGAATCCAGCCCTCAGGGCAGGCAGGAACTGTAAGGGCCCTCCCCAAGTCCCTGCTGGGCTCCCAACTCATAGGGCATCACCTTCCTTGGACATGCCCAGTGCACTGGAGAGGCCTGCTCCTCGTGGCTAGGAGCCTTCCCATGGAAGTGGAGCCTCTGAAGTGCCTCCTGAGGGTCCCCCTACTGCTGGCTCCCCGGGGCTCTGATAAGTCGGGGGTTCCCCACAGATCTCTGGCCATAGTTGTCTCACGTCCCCAGGTGTCCTCTCTTTATCCCACAGGATAAAGTCACTGTGATTCTAATATTTTGACTTATTCTAATATTCCTGCCTGCAGAGTTGCAGGGGCAGACCCTTGAACACAGTAGCACAGTCTTCAAGCACCAGAACCACCCTCCTTCCCCTGGAGAAAGAGGCAGAGAGGGAGGATTTAGAGAGAAAGATGGGGACTCTGACCCATCCTTAGGTCTCTCCAGAGGGCCCCACCCAATGCAGGGTGCTGGGTGGGTGCTGCTGACTAAGCTACTGGAGACAAGGATGGGCTTTCAGATGGACAAGAGACTTGCCAGGAGGCCCCTGCTCCAAACTGAACCTGGCTGCTGCCCACTACATGGCTAGAGAGAGTCAGGCGTGTAGGTGGAGGGGCTTCAGGGACTGGTTTCCCCTGAAGGGCAGAGAATCTCTCTCAGACACACGAGGTAAGCCTGTGGTCCTGCTGCCCACTAAGAATGAAACTTGGAGCCTTGTTTGCAGATAGGGACCTGATGCTCTGTCTGAAAGGCCCACAGTGAGGACCAGCTAGAAGGGAACTTCTCTGCCACTATCAAGCACGGCTCACAGGGAGTTTAGGGCGAGGGCGGTGGCTGCTTACTCCAGCTTCTGAACCACCTGTAGGCTGGCCGTGGGGTGGAACCTACCTGGGGATCGCCCAGTCCTGGACATGCTGCTTGAAGCGACACTCGTAGGTAAAGATCTTGTGGCTGAGGTTGCTGTTCTCCTTCTTGCCGGTGAACAAGAGCCAGAAGAAGAAGCGATTGATCCAGCCCACGAGGCATGGCAGGAAGGTGCTGCAGGGCACAGGACGGAGGAGGGAGTCGGCCTGGGTTGGTGGGTGGGGGATGCACAATCATCGTAATACTCAGCATTTATGGAATGCCAGCTGTGAGCCAGGCATGGGGTGGAGTTCTTTGCAAATCAATGCCTCGTTCTCCACATACTCTGCCACCTATCTCCCCTTCATCCCTTCTCTATAAGTTGGAAATTCCCACAGGGAATCCCGATATTGCAGGGAGGGGCGGATTATCCAGGGAGCTGGATGGTGCAAGGTTGTGTCCCTGAATGGCCATGTCCGCTGGCTTCTGCGTGTCGGGGGGAGGGGGAGCACCTTGGGCTGCAGGCCACAGTCCCAGAGACTAAAAGGCAGCTGCGGAGAAGGTCACCTCAGATCTGCAGCCAGAGGCCCTGAGGGCAGGGGCTGGGGCCAAAGGGAACAACGTCCAGAGGCTTGTTATGGGGACACTCAGGAAGAGGCCTGCCCAGTCATTCACTTAGGAACTCAACTCCTGCCAGTCTGGGCCTGGGCACTGAGCTGCCCAGAGGTTGCAGGAGCCAAGGTGGCTGAGGACTGTGCTGAGTAGAACCCTTGTCATCTCCTGAGCTCAGATCTCCTCTGGGGCCACTGAAGATGCCATGGAAAGGCTCAGCCTGGCTTTGGTGATTTTCTTGGTCTGGTAAAGTATAGATAAGCTTCCCGCTCTGAGAGCTGCAGGCCTGCACTGCCAGGAACCAGACAGCCTCTTCTCTCTGGACTCACAGGCGAGGCTGCTCTTCCCTCTCCCTGCCCAGAGGCCTGTCCATTGATCCATCCCTATCACCTCATTGCCTGCTATAATTCCATCCCAGCTTCTGAGAGCACCTTCTGTGGGGGTACAGGTGACATCAGGGGTCTGGAGCATTGCACCGAGCATGAGGAGCCATTGTTGTCATCATGAGAAGGGAGGAAAGTGACATCTAGTGAAGGTCCTTCGTGTGGACTTGACCCTGGATCCTCCCAACAACCTCGTCATTATTACCAGCTCTACTTTATACATGGGTAAACCATAGCCCAGAGTGGCTGAGTGATTTACCCAGTGTCACACAGCTGGCCAGTGACGAGGTGAGAATCAGAGTCCAAGCCCACTTGAATCCACAGTGTGTGCTGTTTCCACTGTCCCCAACTGCCCAGGTTTCTCAGCACTCAGATCTGGGTACAAGCTGGTACACACCAGGAATGCACTAGAGAATGGAAACTCGTCCTTCAAGGCAGTTACTTTCTGGTGACAGAGGCTAGCCTGGCCACTGATTACCCATTCCATTATTTGTATTTTCATTCCTGTGCCCTCAGCACACAGCCAGAGAACAGCCCAGAACTGTAGGATGAAGCTGGGGACAGTTTCCAGAAGTTGCTAAGTGGAGCCATGTGGGCAGAGCTCAGAGGCTGTGAAGCTCTAGCAGCATCCGACCAAGGGTCAGGATGTGGCAGTTCTAATTTAAAGACCAATTTATTCAGACGCTCCCTGAGCTCGGACTCCACAGACGCACGCACATAAAGCTGTCGAGCTGCCCTGATGGAAGCTGAGGCCCAGAAGAGAGAGCTGACAGGGCATTTTCCACTCTCACCCACAATCCATAATCTGGACAGAGCGATGGCTTTCAGGCTGGGTTCACTGGCCGGCCCAGATCCAATAGGTCGCTTCTTGCTATCGCAAACAGCCCCCTACCAGCTTTCCATTCAGGTCACAGACCACACACAGAGAATTACAGGAAAATGGAGGGGTGAAGGACAGGCCAGAACGTAGGCTCAAGGTAAAATTCCAGAAATGAGCAAGAGCAACAAGATACTTGTGAGCAGTAACCTGGTAGGAGGACTCCTCCAGCAGACATCAGCCTCCTTCTAAGTACAGTGTTTATGACAGTCTGATTTGGGGTGGGGCAGTGGGGAAACCAAACCAAGGAAAAGCACATGGCTCAGGAGCAGACCCACCTATCCAGAAACTTGGTGTATGGGACAGGAGTCCTGGCAGCTCTGCAGTGTAAAATAAACTATTAAATACACGGTACCAGGAAAACTGGAACCCATTATCCACTGAAAAAACTGAAATTGTTTTGCTACTTCACAATAAGCATAAAGTAACTCCAGGAATATTAAAGATACACCTGGGAAGGTACCATTACAACTTTAGAAAAAATGTCAAATATATTTAGGAAAGCATTTTTGTTTTAGAGAGACAGAGAGACATTGGACTACATTAAAATTAGATATATCTGCACATCAAAGGCACCATAAAAATCGAAGACCGAGGCTGCCTCCATGGTGTGGTAACACACTGCTCGACAGCTCAGGGCACTCCTACCTGGTCCAGAGCAGGAACTCCAGTAAATAGAATCCAATGGCGTAGTCCCAGAACCAGCTGGCGGAAGATGAGGGGGGCTGGGAAGCAGAATTTGTCATCAGTTCAGGGCCAGAGCTGAGATGCTCCCTGACCTGTGCCTCACAGTATCCCCTGAGAGGGAGATGCACCCCAGGAATGGCTTCATGGGGAAATAAGAGTGCCCCATCTACTACATCCATTGAAATCCTTCTCAATGACTCAGCTAATTCCCATGCCCCACCCTCTTCAACTTCATGCCTCTTTATCTATGTGTTCTTTCCTTTCTTTCATTTTTCATTTTTGCTTGGTTTTGTTTTTTGCTTATTTATTTTTATTTTACCAGAGGGTGTGTGTGCTGGTCAGCAAGAGACAGAGCTAGAGAGCAGTCAAGTGAGAAAGCAGCCCCTGGGGGGATGGCTACACCACAATCCTTTCTCCTTCATCTCTCCTTCCTCTTGGGGTTTTGGGTACCCACAGACACATGTCCAGCATGTTCTTCAAGCTACTGGATCCATGCAGTTGGCCATGTAGGATCCAGCCGCCTAACCACCACATCATGGGCTGGCCCATGTATCTGCTTATTTATTTTGCACAAGATGAAGACATGTATTTGTCCTTCCTGTTGACAGCCCAGAGCCAGGTGTCCAGCAGCTGGCCTTCATAAACCCCACCCCAGACTCCTTTTCATATTAGACGTGTGGCCTTTGTCTGACTGGCTCCATCAGCATTCAGTCCAAGTGATGGCTTTGCTTTCTTCTGCTGAGAAGCAGCCTTCTTGTTAAGGAGGTAGGGGAGAGAAGAGACTACTGGTCTCTCAACTGGACAGCTGAAGGTGGAGAAGATGGGGTGTCAGAGGGAAGGTAGGATGTATTAGATGATTTCTGAGCAGTAGGCCAGCTAGTTAGGACTCTGATCTATTCTACCCAGTCCTGCCTGCTCTTCTGCTCTCAGCATCCCCCACTCTACGTCTAGGCCATGCCATGACTACAGCCCTATTCCTCCCCACTTGCTAACACACTGGGCCCCCACTGGGCCCCCTTCCTTACTCTCCTCTCTGGCTTTCTGCTATGCCCTTCATGCTCGGTGTCGTTCTCCCCGAAATCTTCTCCCATTTCAGAGATCATTGGGATAACAAGTGTCGGCCACTCCAGGAGCTGAAGCACATGTGGATGGTGGGCTGTGAGAGGATGGGGAGGACACATGCGTGTCACCAGCAACACCTGCCCCAGGACACCAGGCATGCCATGTAGCTACCTTGTTGGTGTGGTCCTGGTAGATGACACTGACGTTCTCGCTGTGCGGAAACCAGAGAAAGCGGAAATATTCGGATTTCTCCAGATGGCTGTCCAGGTTCTCAAGGACCTGACTCGGCAGGAGGAAAAGGGAGAGAATGCGTTGGTCGCAGGAAGATTATGGGGAGTACCAGAAGAAAGGGCCTGGATGTGCCTCAGTTTCTCCCCTTCAAAAGAAAACACTTAATATTGTCCGAACACTGCCGAACAGGATGCGATGAGTCTAAAAATACACTGGGCATTAAGATAGTCCACTTACATGCTGACTTTCCTGATTAGCTCAGAGAACAGAAGTGATTTCTTATTATTCTGACTTGAAGCAATCCTCATGTGCCTGGTATGTTTTTTAAGCTACTGGGTCAATGACCTGAACTGCATAGTCAGCCATGTGGGATCGAGTTGTCTTAATCACTATGCCACAGGCTGCTCCGCCCTGCACCTTGAAGCCTTGATTCCAACATGCCTTGCAGCCTAAGAATGACCCCTTCCCATAACAGGGCTTTGAACAGCATTCAGAAATCGTACTGAGATGCATTTTATGGAATTGGTATTGGGGAGTGTAGAATTAGACCAGTGAGGGACTGCATCCCACAGACTGGAAATCAGGAACAGGACAGGTTTTAAACCTTCGTTCATTTTTAGGTTTTGCCATAGGACACATGTGTTTGCCAGGGAGAGAGAAAGAGACAGTGAGAGGGAAAGTGAGAAATCACTCCCCAGGGGGATGCTTACAATCCCTTCTTCTCTATTCTCCTCTTGGGATTTTGGGCACACACACTCAGAGACCTGGCATGATTTTCAAGCTGCCAGTCCAAAACTTGAACTGTGGTCGGCCATGTGGGAGTCCAGCACCTTAATTAACCACCATGCCACCTGCTGGCCCTAAACCAGTTCCTAACTGGCCCCTGAGCTCCCTTGGACTGAGCACGACTATATACTTTGTGAACCTGAGGAGCAGAAGCTGCCTCAGAGAATGTCTCCGCCCTCTGGAAACTGACCCAATAGGAAGAGGGAGAGGGTAAAATCAGGAGGGGGTGACGGCATTCGTGAGTGAGACAGGCACAACCAGCACATCCAGCCTGCAAAGCCCAGCACTGATTCAGATCCCACAGCTCACCCATGCTCTCATTAGGGGACAGAAGACCTGTTACCTCAAAAAAGATCAGAGAGAGCAGGAATTGGAGATTCTGTCTCTGGGGCTTTCAAGGGGAGTAAGGACCAAGGGTTCCCTTTAATCCTGACAAGGGGCCCATGAAGACAGTGGAGCTCTCATCTCACTGCACGGGGAGGACTTGTGCAAAGTCGCTGTAGGTCAGTGGAGACCCAGGTGGTCTGGCTCTGGAGACGCAGCCTCCTAATGGGTCTGCTGATGCTTTGGGCACTGGAGGAGCCCCTGTAAGTCTTAAGGAAGGAAACAGGAAAGAAAAGAAATATGAAAGAAAAAAAATCTGCTGAAGAACTGAGTCCAAACTTCACTTTCATGTACAGGAAGCAATCCTCATATTCTTTTGTCCTGGCTTCCTGCAGCTCTCACATGCCTCTCTGTGGCCCAGAACTAGCCAACCTAGAAGGCTTGGCTGTGGAGAGAACAGACCCTGTTAAAGAGAGTCCAAGGCTGTGCATCTTAGACCAGGCCTTAAGACCCTTGAAACAACAAGTCTGCAGCTCCAGTGACCAGGGGCATTTCTCCGAGAACTCCCTAGTGGCAAGAAACCAAGAGCAGATATAAATGCATGGACAGGAAGGTTTGCAGTCTTCCCATGTGTTCTTTTTTTGGAGAGGTTTTCGTTATAGGGTGTGTGCGCTCGCCAGAAAGACTGAGAGAGACAGAGAGACAGAGAGAAATCATCCCTCAGGGGGGATGGCCACGTCGCAATCCCTTCTCCTCCATTCTCCTCTCAGGATCTTGGGCATGCATGCACACATGCCTGGCGTGAGTTTAATCCACCGGGTCGAGGACTTGAATCACGGTCGACTACATGGGAGTCCAGCAACATAGTCATTAAACTAACTGCTGGTCCCTTCCCATTTGTTTTTGAGAGCCTTCGTGTGCCTGGAAGTTAGGTGCAATTAGTATTACTTTTTGGATTAGAGGGAAAATATCCCAAGCATAAGAAGTGAGAAGAAACTGCTGAAGGGTCAATTTTCTGATTCCTCAGTCTACCCTTCCTCCTCCTCCATGGGGTCATTTCCTTTGAGGACAGCAAGGCCTGTGCTGTGTCTTTCTATCTTCATCTTAGCCATCTTTCCTTTCTGCCCAAGCATTCTCGACCCCTTGCAAATGCCCTTTAAATGATTCTCTGAGTAGAGAGAGCAAAAGCAAATTAAATATGGGGCCAATTACTGCACATACTTCTGGCAGTAAATCACAGGACTGAAAATGCCACCCACCCTGTGGTAGTCCTTATTTATGGCCTGTGGCTGGCGATGGGACTGATGGAAACCCTCGAGTAGCCTGCAGTGCTTGAGGAAAAGTGACAATAGCCACTTTGGGGGTAAGAAAATCTGTCAAGGACACAATGACTCACAGATCAGGGGGAGGAGCAAACCATGCTCCCTAAGCCCTCACCAGATGAGCTGGAGTCAGCAGTGGGAAGCATGAAGACATTCCCAACTGGGTTCATGCTCCTCCTCAGGAAGACCTGAGAGTTTTCATTAGTTGCTGCAACAGAGAGAAGCAGATGCTCCAACATGAGAGATGGCCCTCTGTCTCCAGGGTGGGGAGATGGGGAGACAATTTTACATGCAATCACTGATTGGCTTCAGAATATCAGAGCTAAAAGAGACCTCTGGGACCATCTTATCTGATCTCACTTTTTAAAGACAAAGAAACCAAGGTCCCAAGAGTTTGAGGCTCTTGGCTTCCTGGTGGCACAGGTGGTAGGATGTTGCTGCATGATGCTAGAACTACAGAGGAGGCCTGGGTTCAGACCTGCAATAGACCTGAACACATTAAGCAAGCACGTGTGCACCTGTGATGCTGGCTGACTGGGAGGCTGGGGAGGATCACCTTGTTGAGAGTTTTGGCAACTGTGTGTGCACGCACATATATGCGGTCATCTACTTTGTCTTTTTAGGGGAGGAGATTGCAATTGCTATTTCTTGCATGTCATCACAGCCTTTCAAAGTCAAAGAAACTGGAAACTTCATAATAGCCCATTGCATGAGAGTACTTTGAGTTGTCAAGAATGTTATGTCTGTGTTAAGAGATGAGCAGCAGGCAATGAGTTCTGAACAGAGGTGGTTGGCTGCTGAGTGTGGGTGTTTAAGTGCATGTATGTATGTGAATGCACACTCATTAGTACATGTGTGTGTGCACACAGATTTGTTTCATGGGAGTGTGTGCATGTGCATACATGTGGGTATGTGTGTGTGCATGCACTCTCATGTGGGTATGTGTGTGTGTGTTAGGCTGGGGTGAGAGGGAGGTGAAAGCAGCTCCAAATCAGACTCTAATAAAATCAATACTATGCTGTCATCAATCTCAGCCATCTTGACCAAGTCAAATAGGAGCAGAAAAAGGAAGGGCCAGGTACCATAAGACCATCCATTACTCAGTTCTAAAATCTTAGTAGCAGCATGAGTTCAAAGACAATTCTCCAACAAAAAAGAAGTAATCCCTTTATGTCTATTCATTTGACCTAGACCTTAAAAATGAATAAATTCTGACCCAAGTAAGAAGCAGGAAAATAGATTCAATAACTCAGCAGCATTACAGCCCCTTCCTTGTTGAAAGTGGTCTCTTCTGCTCAAATCCTCCTCACCTGTGATGCCCATTTGCCCTCTCACCAGACCAGTGCTTCACTACAGTCATTCTCACAGAGGCCAGCTGTGGCTGCCTCATGATCAGACCTGGCTTTGATCTCCAATTCCCTGCAGCACTGGACACTGTTGACTCTTCTGTCATAGATACTCAACACCCAGTGCCTCCATGACATTGACCTCTCTCCCTCTCCTGTTGTCTTCATTCCTCTCTCATTGTCCCCCTTGGTCTCTTCACCTTAATCTCTTCTTCTTCTTTTGAGAGAGATTTTTGGTATAGAGCATGTGTGCTCACCAGAAAGAAGGAGACACAGAGAGACAGAAAGCGAGAAATAACCCCGGGGGCGGGGGGCGATGGTAGAGCCACAACCCCTTCTCCATTCTCCTCTAGGGATTTTAAGCACACATGCACATACACCTGGTGTGAGTTTCAAGCTGTCAGGTCCAGGACTCGAACTGTGGTCAGTCACGTGGGAGTCCAGTGATGTAACCATCTGCTGGTCCCAATCTTAATCTCTTTATGGCAGTTTCTTCATTCACTGAATGCTCCTGTTTGCTAGGGCCCTCTTATCACCCACACCCACTCTCTCCTGATGATCTCATTCACTCCTGTGATCAACTGCCAAGAGGGATGAGGACTCCTTGCTTCCTCAAATTCTTATGTTGAAGTCCTAATTGGCAGATCCTCAAAATGTGTCTATAGAGATGAGATCTTCAAAGAAGTAATCAAGGTAAAATGAGTTCATCAGGGTGGAACCTAACCCAAGAGGACTGATATCTTTATAAAAAGAGGAGAGGAGACTGGATGGTGGTGCAGTGATTTAATGGCTGGGTCCATGTGGGAGGAAGCCAGGCTTATACCCTGGGGCCTCCTTGTGTGTGATGGGTACACAGACACATGCCCATGATCAGGCTGACTGAGTCTGGGACTGGATCATAAAGTGAAGACTCTGCTGAGGATGCCTATCTTGTTATCTCTTTTTCTCTGTTCCTGTCTCTCGCTCTCTCTTTCTCATGGAAGAACTAGGTCAATAAACTTTGAAAGAAAAAAAAGAGATAAAATAATAGTAAAAGCCTAAGATGCAGACACACAAAGAGGGAAGACCATGTGAAGATTCAGGGAGAAGATGGCCATCTACAAGCCAAGGAGAGAGGCCTCAAGAGAAATCAAACCTTCCAACACTTTGATCTTGGACTTCCAGCTTCCCAAACAATGAGGAAATAAATGTTTATTGTTGAAGATACTCAGGTTGTTGTATTCATTAAGCAGCACTAGCTGACTAATGCAACCCTTAAATCTATATTTTTTCTTCTTTTTTTTTGTTTTGTTTCTTTCTTTCTTTTTTTTTTTTTTTTTTGAGAGGTTTTCGCTATAGGGCGCATGCACTTGCCAGATAGAGAGAGACAGAGAGACAGAAAGCGAGAAATCACCCCCCGGGGGGATGGTCACACCGCAATCCCTTCTCCTTCATTCTCCTTTCGGGATCTTGGACACGCACGCCCACGCACAGGTTTTTAAGCCACCGGGTCCGGCACACGAACCACAGTGGACTACGTGGGAGTCCAGCGACATAGCCATTATGCTAACTGCTGGTTCCCTACTTTATTCTTTTTTGAGAGGTTTTTGCTATAGGGTGTGTGCACTCACCAGAAAGACAGAGATAGACAGAGAGAGAGAAAGTGAGAACTAACCCCCCCAGGGGGGATGGCCACACCACAATCCCTTCTCTTCCATTCTCCTCTCGGGATCTTGGGCACGCATGCACATGTGCCTGGTGTGAATTTAAGCCACCAGATCCAGGATTCGAACCATGGTCAACTACATGGGAGTCCAGCGACATAGCCATTATGCCAACTGCTGGTCCCTCAATCTATACTTTCAGTCCTGGCCCCACCAGAGGTTCTGATTTTCAAAGCCAACTTCCCCTGGAATGCCATTGAAGTACCTCAAAACTCAGGTTACAAAACTGAACTAATAACTTGGTCCCCCGTACCTGTTGAGCCTCCTAGATTCTCTTGGTGGTAGCTTCATCACTCCTGACTCCTTCCTCCTACTCCCTCACCCCCACACTCTGTTGCTAAGTGCGATTGAGTCCTCATCCTAGTTGTCTCTTGAACATATACCCTAAGACAATAGACTTGGCTCTACATCTCAGCCCCATGGGTGCCTCTCCAGATATGACCACTGTACCCTGGCCTCTTCCAAACCTCCTTCCTATATTGCTGCTCTCGGTCATGGTCTTTGTCTTGGTCCTCTCTGCCAGGCTTCTTTGGGTCTAGTGATTGACATGAATTATTTCTTCAGCTCCAGGCAGGCCATCTTCACTGGACACTGCCTTCAATTTGAAACCCCAAAGGCAGGCTGACTAGCTGCCAGTCCTGGATGCTCAGCTCCAAAACTATGGTGCCTTCAACCAGCTATGTCAGCACATAAGCTTAACCTCAGAGTAGGGACTAGGATGGGGTGTCCTGTAACCTCCCTTGCATGTCATTTCCATAATTTCCCATCCATTAAAAATTCCTTAGTTTAGAAGAGTTGGTGTACTTCATTTGGAGGCAGCAGTGATGAGGAAAGTTGGAGATTCTATTACCTTTTTTGTAGTCAATCCATAGTAGGAGGGCACTGAGAGGCAGAGAGGATGCTGATAGCTGCTCAGGGGGAGAGAGGCAGGCTCCCCAGGGGTGATTGAAAGAAGAAAGGGCCATCGAGTTGTTCAGCATAGGCCCGAGAAGGACCCCTGGATTGCACCTCAGTGAGGTTCCCTGCCACATCCAGGATGGAGTGATTCACCTCATGAGAAATAGGGAAAGGAAAGGCCAAGAAAAACAGAGGCATAAGGGTTATAAGAAAGTCTCTTTTCCATCTTCACAGTTACTAAAAGGAATCTCAGAATGTTCTTTCATGGCTGTAGGGGTTATTTCCTAGGTCATTCAGCTCCCAAATGCTCTCCCCATTGTAGCTCTCAATCAGTATACCTGGCACTGGGCAGACTGTAGAATGCTTTTAAATCCTGTGAATGAATGGCCTAGATCAGCCACTTAGCACTGGTCTGGGGGATGGTGGCTGGTTGAGGCACAACTAAAGTGGCCTTTAAGAGCTCAGAGCGGGACCAGCAGTTGGCGTAATAGCTATGTCGCTGGACTCCCACGTAGTCGACTGCGGTTCGAGTCCTGGACCCGGTGGCTTAAACTCATGCTGGGCACGTGTGCGTGTGTGCCCAAGATCCTGAGAGGAGAATGGAGGAGAAGGGATTGTGGTGTGACCACCCCCCCCAGGGGGTGATTTCTCGCTTTCTGTCTCTCTGTCTCTCTCTGTCTGTCTGGCGAGTGCACGCGCCCTATAGCAAAAACCTCCCTCCTCCCCTCCAAAAAAAAAGAGCTCAGAGCTGGGGATGACTCCAGGCAGGGTCATGTGGACCAGTGGATATCTGCATCCCTCCTCATTCCAGTGTTCTCCCCCCTGTCTCAGTCTTCATGAGGCTCCTTGGCTTAGCCTTGCCTTGTTACTGCCAAACAATTATTTGAGATGCCCTTGTCCTGGACTTATCCTGCTCTCTTAGACCAAGGCATCAGGCAGCTCATTTGCTAAATGACCCGTGCAATGTCCTGTGCAGACTCAGCATAGGTGCTGCTGGGGTTAATGTTGGATAGCCTAGAGCTATGGAATCACTTTCCCAGCCACCTGCTGAGAATTCTGGGAGGACTTTCCACCAAATAATGCCTTTGAGTAAGGGCCCTTTTGGATTAAAGCCTTTGCCCTACAGTTTAGTGCATTAGAAATTCCAGTGGTGGGGCCAGCAGGTAGTGTGGTGGTTAAGGCACTTGACTCCCACATGGCCGACTGTAATTTGAGTCCCAGACCTGGTGGCTTGCTTTCTCACTTCTCTCTCTCTCTCTCTCTCTCTCTCTCTCTCTCTGTGTGTGTCTGGTGAGTACAAATGCTCTATACCAAGTTAAAGAATAATAATAATAACAAATTAATTTTTAAAAAGAAAATAAAAAGAAATTCCAGTAGTAAGAATTTTTAGACCAAGTGCTAGGTAATAATAGTTTCCATTTAGCACCTACTGGGTGCCATGGAGGGGGGCAGTGGAGGATCTGTTTTTTTTTTTGGAGAGGGTTTTGCTATAGAGCACGTGCGCTCACCAGACAGACAGAGAGAAACATAGAGACAGAAAGCAAGAAATCACCCCCACAGAGGGGATGGTCACGCCGCAATCTCTTCTCCTCCATTCTCCTCTCGGGATCTTGGGCACGCACGCACACGTGCCCGGTGTGAGTTTTAAGCCACCGGGTCCGGGACGTGAACCGCGGTCGACTACGTGGGAGTCCAGCAACATAGCCATTACACTAACTGCTGGTTCCCGTGGAGGGTCTGTTTAACACTGAACTAGATATTTCATGTGTATCATCTGATTTAATCCTCAGATTTAATACTGTAAGGTAAGCATTATTAATTCTCTTGTTAGATGAGCAAATTAAGGCTCAGTAAGATTAAATGAGTGGTCAAAGGTCACAATTTAGAAGTGTCAGAACCAGCAGTAAAGGTCGAATCTATTTGATTCCAAAGCCCATAATCTTCATCTTAACCATGTTGGGTCTATTATGCTCACATCACTCCAACTCCATCTATGCAGATGATATGTTCATATCAAATGATAAGGTAGCTATGGAAGAATCCAAACTCCCAAGAACTTGGAACAATAGATTTGACTCCTATAATTTAGTAAATATCAGTGATTTCAGACATTTCAGCCCTATTGAGTGTCATCTATCCATCCATCCAATCGTCCACCCATCTATCCATTCATCTAGCTAATCATCCGTCCAACCACCAGTCCATCTACTCAAGTACCTATCCATCCATTTATTTATCTATCCAGCTAACACTGTTTTTCATTCACTCAAGAAGCACTGCTACTAATTAACAGTCCTTCCTCCTTCTCCTCATCACTCAGATCCAAATATCCTACAAATAATGAGGCAACCAACAAACATGAAAGTTACTCCATGCATCTGTCATAGAAAATCCTTTATAAAGACAATCCTGGGCATATCCTAAAGGCTACTTGAGAGTTAACACCCTCCAATGCATAGTCAGCTCACATCTGCCTTCTGGGGCAAGTCCCCTTCTTGCCCACAGCTCTGCCACCCGCTGTAGCTGCTCTGGTATCACTGATCTGCCCAAAAGGGTTCTGGCCACAAGTATCCCTAAGACCAGGGAAGGGATGGCAAGGTCAGTACCTTTCCATTAGGGGAGACTGAGGAGCCGTGAGAGGCTGTTGGTGGGGGGGCGGCCCATGTGTCAAGATCCTTCATGTATTTTCTGAGGCTGAGCAGTGGTGAGCAAGGGACCGGTACCTCTTTCAGGGTTGAGGGGAAGGATGTCTCCTGCAAGTGGAACTGGGGCACACACTGGAGGGTGATGGTGAGGATGACTCCAAGGCAGCCCAGGTGAACTCGTGCAGCCTGGAACACCTCTGCATTGTTGGTCTCCGAGCACTCCAGAATGTTTCCGCTGGCTGTCAGCAGGGTCAACGCCACCACCTGGCAGTGTAGAAGAACCACACCTCATAATACCCACAGCCATTGCCTTTCATTCCCCATTTGTCCTCAGAGTGAGGCTAGATATCACCTACTCCCATCATCTGGCCACTTGGGACTTGGCTAGCTAGGTCTACTGTCACAAGCTGAGGGCTCTCAGTCTCACAGGAGAGACAAAGATGAATGGGTGGGCATCAGCCCTCACGAGAGGATGGGGCATCATCGCACAAGATGATATTGGACTCCACTAACTTGTCCTCCCAAAATGCCACCTCCTTCATTTTGAGGGCCTTTCCACTGCATAGAAGATCTGTAAGGAGAGACAGGCTGCAAAGAGCTAGAGTTCCTGGGTGAAGGTGTGGGGGAAAGTAAAGTGAGGACATGCATGCATGTGGGGATGGTCCAGACCTGGTGTTCTATCACATGACTTGGGAGCCAGGCCCTGCAGACTCTCTCTGCCTGCTGTCAGCTCTCCTGGGCCATATGTGAGCCAAACTGAGTCTCATTTGAGAACTCACTCCTGGAAGAACTAGACTCTCCTCCTTGGCCATATCCAACCTAGAAACTTTGGGTTTCTACAAAGATTAGGATGCACAGTAGGAAACTGGTGATGAACTTCTGCATCTTTGCCCTTAGCAAAGGTTTCCAGAGGAACCTCTTTCGTTGCTGTTGAAGTACTTCTCCACACTCCACTACCTGCTAATTTGGATGGAAATTGCTCTTGACATGTGTAGTTGGTGACTGGGGGCTCAGGGAGAGAGAACAGATAAAGTGGAACTAATTCTGATTAACAGTGACCAAAGACCAGAGAGGAGAAGTTGGCAGAAATGGGGCATGGTGGCCATCTGTGGGAGGGAGCACATCACAATGATTTTTACAAAGACTGGGTTTTGCCTAAGATCCAGGACACTGAATGAGAGCTGGCCTGTGAAACACAACAGGGTCAAGAACCTTTAATAGAGGGTGGGCTCTATATGTTTGAGTTATGTGACCTTCTCCATGCTATTCAGCCTCTGCATTTCCTTACCTGTAAAATTGGGATGATAAAACTATCTCAGAGGGTTTTAGTGAGGACCGAGTAGTAGAATATACCAAGCATGCGACTAACTGCCTGGTGGATAATAGATATTAAACGTGTTAGTCTTCTTCCCCTCGTTCTCTGCCATTGGTGGAATGTGTGGAATTGGTTCCTAGGCTTGCTCAGCTGGGCTTCCTAAGAGAAATGGCTAGTATATCCCACGTGCATTTTGATCTGTGGCCACTCAGGATTATTTTCATATTCTGCATAGAAACCAAAGCAACCAGCATGACATAGTCCTGGATTATAGACCAGAACAGGGGCCAACACTTGGAGAGTGTCTCAACATTGTTCTCCACTCCCAGTTACCAGTTTGCTGCTCTCTTGGGCAGCAAATTCCTTGGGTGTGATAACCATTATGTCCATGGAGGGCCTCAAGAGCCTGAATTTCAGGTCCAACAAATCCTCATGTGCTTTGTGCAAAGCCTCTGGCCTATGGGAGGGGTCAAAAATGATTTGCATCAATGTTTTCAGTCTTTCCCCTTTCCTGGCTCATGCCCCACCTGCAGAATGTCCTACTATTGCCTGGTGATTCTTTGAGGACTTCATGGTGAAAAGAGGGAGGAGCATATTGACAAATAGCAACCAAAATGGGAACATGGTGCTGATGAGAAAGCAAAGTGAGTTTAAGGAGTAGTGACTGTGAATTAGGCTTACCTTTGTGAAGTTATGTTTCATAGAAATGGCTTTTAGATGGTTTGTTTTGTGTTGCTCTGAGCCTGGACTACAAGGAACCCAGCTCCCAGGAGTCACACTGTAACGTGTTTGATCAGCTGCCTGTCTTCAGAACCATGGCAGAAGGTAGAGCCATCACTTGTATGGTTAGTTGGGAGAAACTCCAGGTGATCCCTGTGGTCCAGTCTTCAGCAGTGCTGAAGCTTCCACAGTGAGAGCACAGAGTAGCAGAACTGACATTCAAAACCCAAGCCCAGTGCTAAGTCTTGAAGCTCCAGAGGTCCCATGGTCCCTAGTGCTGACGACCTCACACAGGTGAAGAAAGCACTATCTAAGGTATGGGGCACTGACTAGCACAGGGTCTCCCTCCTTCCTCCCAAAGAAGCAACTAGCCTGTGAATGGAAGGGACTACAAAAAGCTTGTGGGAAAATGGGATTAAAGTTTGAGTTTATTTTGGTACAAAACTTTTGTTTTAAATCCATGCATGGTTTTTACATAATACTTTGCATATCCCAGCAGCCTGCTCCATGGAAGCCCAGCCTGGTTCATAAGAAAGCCCCTCTAAATACTGACAGCTAAAGGTGTTTGTCCTCCAAAGGGTGGCTCCTCATGCAACATCTTCTGCACTGTCATTTGGTTGGCCATGCACTTAACATCCACTGTCTCATTTATTCCTCATGAGTCGAGAGTTATTCTCCCTATTTCAGAGAGTTTTTTACAGGTGTGTCAGAAAAGTTAAAGAAATCTTTCTAAAGCGCATACCCAGCGAGGGGTGGAAGAAGATTTTGATCTGACGTTTCGTTTGAGTCCCATACTTATGCTCCTAACCAGTTTCCCAGTCTGGACTTCCATGAAGACGAAATAGTGCATCCCGGGTCACCTGTGTGTGGCTCTCCAGCAGATGGCCTTGGCTCCTGTCCTGGACCTTCCTCACTCACTGACCTGGCTAGTCCCTTCCCCTGGCTGGCTCCTGGCTCATACCTTTCAATGACAACGGCACCCCCTGCCCTGCCTGCCCCTTCCCACATGACTGCTAGGAGCCACCTAGAGATGGAGGTGTGTGTGTGGGGGGGGTGGGGGTGGGGTGGGCGCTTTGCAGCTGCTAGTGTTCACATGTATGAGGCCTTCCTGCTGTGTTCAGGCTGAGAGAAGGAAGCGATGCTCCCAGAGGCTGCCCATGGAGTCTCTGTTGGGAGGGAGACAGGTGGGCTGGAGACCCACGCAGTGCCGAGCCTGCATTGCCATGGAGCAACTAGCCCCCCACTGCCCAGGTACTGCAGCTCCTCCCAGCCCTCTGCTCACTGACAGTCAGGTGGACTCACCTGTGTGGCCAGGATGCCGTGTTTGATCCCCGTGTTGTGTGTTCCGGACCCGATGACACCCGCTGCGGTCACATCTGACACGGCTCCCAGGCTGGCTCAGCAGGAGGGAGCAAGAGGGACACAAAAGCCATTAGGACAACGGGCACCGCAGATGGAGCAGAAATATTGATCATTTCCTGTGGGTCCTCCGCCCAAATCACCACGACCTCAGTGTGTGGCTGGCCAGCCCTTCACTCCAGGCTTCTGTTTCCTTGTCTTACGGCCTGTCAGATGAGTCAGGGAAACAGTCTAGTCTAGGAGACTTGGGTGTCCCAGCCATGGGGTGTCTGTAGACTGCAATGCTTCTTTCCTACATCCTCCTTCTGAAAACAGTATCTTCTCCACCAACCAAAGGCCAAATGCTCCTGCTAACATGTGTCTTTACCCAGCTTATCAAAGGCTCAAAATCCTCATGGAGGGACCAGCAGTTAGTGTAATGGCTATGTCGCTGGACTCCTATGTAGTCGACCGTGGTTCGAGTCCCGGACCCGGTGGCTTAAAACTCAGACCAGGCGCGTGTGCGTGCGTGCCCAGGATCCCAAGAGGAGAATGGAGGAGAAGGGATTGCGGCGTGGCCATCCCCCCTAGGGGGTGATTTCTCGCTTTTTGTCTCTCTGTCTCTTGCTGTCTGTCTGGTGAGCACACACGCCCTATAGCAAAAACCTCTCAAAAAAAAAAAAAATTCTCATGGAACTGACCGGGTTCAAATGGCACAAATGAACATCCCAGAAAGGTCTGAGGAGGTGAGAATCTTCCTGAACCAAGGGGAAGTAAGAGGAGTCCTGCCATCTCTTCTACTCAGAAAATTTAGGGGTTCCTGGGACCTCCAAGACAAAGTGCATATCCCTTGGCCTGGTGTTCCAGGCCCTAGAATAAATGAGAAGAGGCTTGTGTGTGCACAGGAGAACCAGACCTCTAAGGGGGCGCGGTACACCACCTTCCCCAGTGCAGGCATGGTGCAGGCAGAAATTAAAAAGACATGCCTGGATCTTAGGGTCAGGAATGAAAGGTAGATCAGGACTTCAAAAGTCTTACTTCTCAGGCTAGTCTTGTGGTCTAGTGGTTAAGGGAGCTGGATCCCCCATTGTCAACCACACAGTGCAAATCCTGGCCTTGGCAACTAAAACAAAAAACTGGGTGAATGTATATGCATGCCCCAAATCCTAACAGGATGGAGAAATGAAGAAGGGATTGTGGTGTGAACATCCCCAACTGGGGATACTTTCTCCCTCACTTTCTCTTCCCCTAACACACTCTCTAACAATTAAAAAATATAATTAAAAAAAATCTTATTTCTCAGGAGCTTTCTCTGAGACATCCCAGTCCTTGTTTACTTAAAGGAGAAGCAAACAAGTATTTGCTAAATATTACTGAATGCCAGGGAGACTGGAACTTGCTGTGCAGTATAATGTTCCAACTCGCTTTGGCTCACACACAAGGTTTGAGCGGGACCCATGGAACAAGGGCACTTGAGGCAGGCTGGAGGACACCAAGGCTCTGCATTTCCTACTTGCAACCCAATTTGGCAATGATTAGAAAATCTCACTCTATACCTTCCAGGGGAGAGACAGCGAGATCTGGGGGCTGCCCTAGCAGAACAGGAAGAGGATGAAAGAAACTAGCCTTCCCTTCCCACCCACTTGCCTTCCTGCCTATTCTTGTCTCTTTGGCCACATTTGTTGGTTAGTTGACAATATTGTCTCTTCCAAAAATACCTGGATGTTAAAGGATCATAGAAATTCTGCCCTTGAGAAATGCTGCAGCATGCAGAAGCACTCGTGCATGAAGATGTTCATCACAGCATTTCTTAATGGCAAAAAATATAAAGGACCCACATGTGAGAAAGAGGCTGACTAATCGCACCATAATGTAACGTCTCTTCTCCATGAAACATAGGGAGACTACACAGTAGCTTGGAAATAAGCTAAGGACCATGTTAAAAGAAGTGGATAAAAGCAAGGCCCCTAGGGAGGGAGGGCTTCTGGGCCCTGAAAAGATGGAGATAACAAGGGGAGAGGCAGGCACTCCATGACCGGAATCATGGAGTGAGGCATTGATAGACATTGGAAAGTAAATGAGGCCCCTGGGAGAGGATCGAGATATCTCGTTAACAGGGCACAGAGATGCTTCAGGCTCAAGTGCTACTGCTTGAAATTAGAGAACGTACCTACTATCCTGGTCATGGGTTCTGCCCTAAAGTCTGCTTACAAGTCCCTGTACAGCCCACACTAGTCCTCGCTCCGGGCCCTTGGCTCATGCTGTTTTCTCTGCCTGTAATCTCTTTACTCCTTTTTCTGGTTGATTATCTGTCATCTTTTTCTTTTTTGGGGGGGGGGGGAGGAGAGGGTTTTGCTATGAGGCACATGTGTTCGCCAGAAAGACAGAGAGAGACAAAGAGACAGAGAGACAGAAAGCAAGAAATCACCCTCCCGGGGATATGGCCAAGCTGCAATCCCTTATCCTTCATTCTCCTCTCAGGATCTTGGGCACCCACGCACACATGCCTGGCGTGAGTTTAAGCCACCGGATCTGGGACTTGAACCATGGTCGACTACATGGGAGTCCAGAGACATAGCCATTATGCCAACTGCTGGTCCCGATACCTTGTCATCTTAAAAGGACTTAGCCCATGGTTCCTCCTATAGGGAGCCTACTCTGATTCCCACCTTTTCTGAAGTTCCCCGGGATGAGAAGGCTAAGCCGGGCTCTACAGGGGCCTGGCATGACCCTGAATGCCACGATGACAGTGAACCTACTGCTCATGCTTCTTGCAGGTGTGGTCTGGGTTTTATTCATCTTTGCCTCTCCAGAACTAAATGTGGCCTGTGGCGGTAGGTGATCCACAAATGTTTGGTTTCCATGTTCCTTAGAGAGGCAGGAACAGATGGTTTCCAGAGTGAAAAGGAATTGTAATGCCTCGGGGAAAAACTCCCATCAGTGTGATATTAAAGCCGAGGTGAGCAGACCCTCCGCACTGAAGATCAACCATAGTTTCCATGAGTGTAATTTCCAGTTGTGGAGAAACTGCTACCCCAGTGTTCTAATCACCTCTGTGTCTAATGGTTGTCACTGTTTCTACTGCTCAAAAGTCCTGCAGAGATTCACTTCTTTCGCTTTGCTTGCACCTGTTTGAATGGTATCCTGATATTAAATCTGAGCAACGACTCACTCCCTCCACTTTGAATGGAGGGACAAGTGAAACCACAGAGAAGAATGCCAGGAAGCCTGTGGTCTAATTGTCAGGTTCTTTTTTTCCTCTGAGTGCTTAGTCTGCATATCCTTGTGTTTGGACCCTAGAATTTTGTTGCAAGTTTTCAGAACCTGATTCATAGTTATCCCCCCCCCTTTTGAATTGTTATTTAATACTTAGCTCATCTCCAGTCTGTTTCTGTCTATTCCCACACAACAGCCTTTGAATTCATGGGTGATGGGGAGACAGGAGGAAGAGGAAGGACCTAGAGAAGGGGTACTCCTGGAACACTCCTCTCAGGCCCTTTCCAGATCCCTGAGTGTCCAGTTGAAACCAGGCTAGGAGGTGGTAGCAGCCCTGGCCCACCCAGGTATGCGATAGGGGCTCTTACTTGGACAGGGCTAGGCCATGCTTGTCCAGCTGTGGGTGTAGTTCAGCTAGAAGGATGCCAGCCTCCACGGTCACCTGCTTCTTCTCCTTGTCCACCTGCAAGAGACCAGCACATCTGGAAGAAGCTGGGCCCTTTCCCACCCTGACACTTATGCCAGGCTCCTCCATGAATGTGAACATGAGTGAGTGTAAGTGTATCTTCCCCAATGGCTTGGGTCATTGCCCACTGTAGGCAGCCAAAGGAGAGACAGAGCATGAGAATGCTAGAGCTTCAGGAAAACTCTGTAACCCTTCATCTCACAGGGGAAGGAAACAGGGTACAGGATGGAGAAGAGATTTGTCCATGTCCACTCAGTCGAGCTTTCCACCCAACTAGAAAGGCAGGGTTTCCTGCATAATTGTGCAACGTCACAACTAAGCAGGGCCTATCCTTACAGCATCTTGACTTCGCTGGATGGAGTTCAGAGTCTCCACCTACTCTCTCCGTGGGGAGATCTAGTCAAGGTCTAAGAACTGGAAAGGAGGGGGAGCCTTAACATTCAATTGATACCTGTCATGTGGACAAGACCCTTGTCATGAGATCCCCATAGCGGCCCTGGCCCATAGAAACCATCTCTGTACCTCACAGGAAAGAGGTTGGGGTTCAGGGACTTGAAGTCACTTGTCCAAGGTTACACAAACATTGGAGGCTGAACAGAGCTGAGGATCCATAGCTGTCTGACTCCCAAGCACATGCTCATTCCACTGACCCAGAGCGCAGAGATCAGGAAAATCAATTGCCAGGACCCAATCCTCACTAATTAGCCATCAGTGCTAATTACTGCCGTGACTGATGTCTTGGCTCAGCTATTTTCTAAGAGGTAAAGATTGTCAGCCTGAGCAGATAAAAGAAGAGAGAAACCCAGAACCTTTCTTAGCAGGGCTGGGAGAAGGGGAGCTCATCTGCCAAAAACAGCAGTTCAGGGGAGCTGGTCCCAGCAGGTGAGGATAGGATCCTAAGGGCACCACACCTGTCTCGCACCCGGACTCACTGGCAGGCATGGGGTCGGGGAAGCACTCGCCTCATGCTGGCTGAACCATAGCCAGTGACCCAGCATGAAGCTGGTATCAGTCCCGAGTCTGTGTCCAGCTCTGCTTGACTGTGTGAACTAGGCAAGCCACTCGCCCTCTCTGATCTTGTTTCCTTATTTGTACAAATAGCTAAATGGCACTTCGGCCCTTCGGAATTCGTCCCTGTGTGTCTCCTTCAGGGCCTGACTTTCAGCCCTGTCCTAGAGAGGTGGAGAGGAGGCTCTGGCAGGGGTGAGGGGGACTGGGGAGGTGGGGGTGGGAGTGGGCATCCTCTTCCTGGCTTCAAGGGGGTGAGCAGGCCTGACAAGAGACCTGAGAGAGCCAGGGGAGGTTTCTGGTGAGGTGCTCAGGGGAGGACTATAAATCAGGATATTTCTTTGGGGACACAAGGGCAGGGAAAAATTGAAATATTTCTCTGGGGACTCAAGGGCAGAGCAAGGACAAGGACTGAGGGAAAGACTAAGGGACTCTGACCTAGGATCTGGGGTGGAGGCTGAGAAAGCAGGACCCGTGGACAGGTAGAAGTGGGGAGCCAAGCATTCTAAGTACCTGGAGGACTCGGTTCATCTTGCCCATGTGGATCATGAAGCCATCGGTGCAGGCGATGTCCGAGGGTGAGTGGCCTCCGCCCACCACCTTCACCCGCTTGTTCTGCTGCCTGGCGAGGGCCAGCACCTGCCAGGACACAGTATGAGTCAGGACTTCCTTCTTGAGGCGGCCTGAGAGCACACAGGGTCCAGGCCTGGCCTGCAGGGAGTGTGGTCAGCCCAGGCGGTACACACCCAGGCCTCCAAGGCCTCTCCCTGGCTCCAGGCTGTTGTGCCAGCCATTCCAGAAAGAAAGTGAGAGAAAAAGGCCAGGAGTGAGCTGGGATGGAGGACCAAGGAGCCCTCTCTGTGTCCCAGGGCTCTGGTCCATTCTCTCACTGCACTCTGAGGCTTTCCTAAAGGCAAATTCAATGACGTGCTTTGCCAGAGTAAAGTCTTGCCAGGGTGCCCTAGAGTCCTCAGGATAGGACTCACGCCCCTCGGAGGACCTCCAGTCTGTCCCCACACTAGAATGAAGGTTCCTCCAGGGACAGTGGCTGATTTTGACTTTGTATCTTAGAGCCTCCTGCAGGCTCTGCATACATAGGAGGTCTCTAACATAGTGTGAATAAATAAATGCACTGAGAAGAAAAGCAGTTCAGAGCAGTCTGTGGACTACCAGGTCTATTGAAATTTCAACAGCTCAAGAGAGACAGGAGATGAGGTTTGGTCATCATCAAGGGTTACTGCCCCAAAGGCCCTAGTTCACATACTCAAACTGAGCTGCAGGAACTTACATGTGACTCCATCCTGTCTTCGTTTCTTTTTATTTTATTTTTGCAAGAGGGTACTTGTGCTCACCAGAGAGAGAGAGAGGGAGGAAGTGGAAAAAGCAACCCCTCCCCATGGGGGATGGGTACACCACAATCCCTTCTATTCTATGTGTCCTTTTAGGATTTCAGACACACGTGTACACTTGCCCAGTGTAGTTTTCAGGTTGCTGGGGCTGAAACTGTGCTGTCCGCCATGTAGGATCTGGCTGCCTTAACCACCAGGCCACATAAAAGTCCTGTGCATTTTTTGTTTTATTTTTGTTTTTTATTTTATCATTTCAATGTTCTAAAATTCATGATATAGCGGATAATGTATAGCCAGTTTGTCTGCATTATTTTAAACACATCAATGTGAGCTCTTTGCAAGCACTTGTCACCTTCCCTCTTCTTGCCCTTCTCTTTGAACTGGCTTCAGAGACATTTTCCATGGGCATATTCTAGACAACCAGTACCTGTGCACCCTAGGAGAATCATGCTCAGGCCTCAGCTCAGATAAAACTCCACCTCACTGACCAAACCTCAGCCTTCCTTCCTTTTGATGTCACCTAAGTGAATTTATTCACTTCCACCATGTCCTTGCTCACACCCCCTCACACTGCCTGAACATTCACACTATGACTCTCTGTCATTCTCCTCACTTCTCTAACTCTTGGTGTCCTTCCCCAAGGTCTAATGAACTCTTTCTTCCAGGGCCCAGCACCATGACTCCTTTTTCTTCCTGTAGTTTTTCCTGCATAAGAAGCAGGGGACTTTGGTCTCAGATGATCCCTTATTTGAATCCTGGCTCTGACACTTATTATCATCCCTGGCCTTTAAATTTTGGGCATCTGGGGCCAGTAGGTGGCATGGTGGCTAAGGCACTTAATTCCCACATGGCTGATTGTGGTTCATCCTGAGCCTGGTGGCTTGCTTTCTCAATTTCCATCTCTCTCTGGTCAAATTAAAAATTAATAATAATAAATAACTCCTTAAAAAAACTTTGAGGTATCTAAGCTTGTAATGTCTTTGAGTCAAAGAATAAGAGGTCCTTTGTGGGTCTGCAGTTTGGAGATGCAGTCTGAATTGCAATGAAAGCTGCTAGGCCCTGGTGTATTGTGGGTACAGAAAGTTGTGATGTGGCTGCTGGGTGGTGAGAAGGGACAAGACCCCTGTATTTAGCTGCTTTTATTCACAAGTCACCTGGTTGGCAGTTCTGGGCCATGGGTAGGAGTTTAGCTCTGGAAGGTCCATCACCCTGCCTCCTCCCTAGGGCCAGAGCTGTGGTCTATTGTGCCAGGCCATGCTGAGGTGGGCACTCACCTCTCTGATCTCCTCCACAGACGTGGGCTGATAGTACATCTCTGGGGAACAGCCATAGGTCCTCGCCCAGTTTTGGAACTTGACCCCTTTGTAGCCATGGACCTGTGTCAGGAAAAAAGTCAGATCTGAGCAGGTCAGCTGACCCAACCATTCATGGTCCTGTGTCCGCCCCTCTCCTCCAACAGTGTAGTGACAGGAGAATGAGGCCACAGTGCAAAGTTCAGGCATCTCTTAGCTCTGATGGCCTCTCTGGGAAGTTTGAACACCTGCAGGAAGCTCTATATGGGAAGATTAAACACATGATGGAGGAGTAAACACCAGCCAGAAGCTCTGCACAGGAAGATTAAATTCAGCCAGAAACTCTACCCTGGAAGCTTAAACACAGGTGGAAAGCTCTACATGGGAAGTTCTATGGGGGAACATTAAACAAGGCCCAGGGTCAGTAGATGGTGTAATGGTTACCTTACTGGACTCCTATGTAGTTGACCATGGTTCATGTCCTGGACCAGTGGCTTAAAGCTCACACTCAGCCGGTGTGTATGCATGCCCAAAATCCCAAGAGAAGAATGGAAGAGAAGGGATTACTGCAGGGCCATCACTCCTAGAAGGTGATTTCTCACATGCTGTCTGTCTCTCCTGTAAGCACACTTGCACTATAGCTAAAATCTCTCTTAAAACAAACAAACAAACAAAAACAAGACCAGAAGCTCCACATGGGAAGACTAAACATGGGCAAAAAACTCTACCAGAAGATTAAACATGCGCTGGAGGCTCTAAAGGGGAAGATTAAACATGCAATACATACGGGGCAAGAGTGGAAGCTCTATGGGGAAGATTAAACACTGCTGGAAACACTGAGAGGAAAGATTAAACACTTGCTGGAAGCTCTCCTCACAAAGACTTGTTGGAAACTCTATTCGGGGAAGATTAAATGTCTGCCGGAAGTTCAACGCAGGAAGATTAAACACACACGGAAAGCTCTCTGCCGGAAGAGTAAACGTGCACTGGAAGCTCTATGCAGGAAGAGTAAACAGGGCTGGAAGCTCATGGGAAGACTTACACACCCGCCAGAAGTTCTAAATGGGAAGATTAAACATGTATCAGAAGCTCTAGGTGGAAAGATTAAACACAAGCTGGGAAACTCTGGGTGGGAAGAGTAAACACAGCTAGAAACTCTATATGGGAAAATAAAACATGTGGGAAGCTGTGTGCGGGTCTGCTCTGGCCTCCTGTTAAATCTCCCTTTGCTCTTCGTAGTCATATGGGCAGACTCCACAGAAAACTCTGTTCCTTCTCGCAACCAGCAGTTAGCGTAATGGCTATGTCGCTGGATTCCCACATAGTCAACCGTGGTTCATGTCCCAGACCCAGTGGCTTAGAACTCACGCCGGGCGCGTGTGCATGCATGCCCAAGATCCCAAGAGGAGAATGGAGGAGAAGGCATTGCAGCGTGACCATCCCCCCTGGGGGTGATTTCTCGCTTTCTGTCTCTATGTCTCTCTCTGTCTGGCGAGCGCACGCGCCCTATAGCAAAAAACCTCTCAAAAAAAAGAAAAAAGAAAACTCTGTTCCTTCTCAGGTGAAGGGTGATAGATGAGGTCAAGGGTGATAGATGAGTCCTGCCCAAGAATGCAGGACTCAGACCTCCTGCTGGAGCAGTGAAGCAAGATCACTTCCATTTTTAACTCCTCTCTATATGGGAAACTGACTTTCTCCTTTTGACTAGAGTAAACAGTGATTAACATTCCTACTGTCTTTGCTAAATAACCCAAAACTCCCTACCTTAAGATGTTCCTTAGTGATATAATAATCAACCCCAAACCCCTTGCCCTAGCTATAAAGGTTATTAAGATTCCATTGTGCTTAAGCAAAGGTCTAGAGATTATTGACCTGCTTGATCTGGCTTTTTTCTGTGACCACTTACGCACAGAAATCTCCATGCCTTCTCCTTGTCACCTCCCCCTCCTCAATGATTCCTGCTCCTGCCCTGTCAACCCAAATATGGTTTTTGCCTTTATAAGCGCCTTTCTCCCTATACTCAGGGCTGCGAGGTTTTTGTATAGGCAATAAGGCAGATGCCTTGTAAAACCTGTAAGCTGGGCTTTTCCTCCTGACAATATTCAGCCACTCCTTGCAGGAGCTATTGAAACTGAGGTTCACTTCTCAGTGTAGGACAACTCAGAACAGATATCAGGAAAGTTCCCAAGTAACTCAGAGAAGTGTTATAACATAATTGGCAAGGCACCTTGACCTTAGATTTAACTCTCACTTTAAAGGCAACCAGTAGTTACTCGTGGTAATCCTGAAGGCTTGGAACTTCTCTGAGGGCAGCATCTGGAAACATCCCAGATCATCAGACCCTCTGCCTCAGAGGAAACTGTTTTCAATGTGGGCAGCCTGGGCACTAAACAACACCCATGACTGGCATCCTCATGTCCCCCACTGGGGCCTTGTCCCCAATGTGGAGTTGGTCACTAGAGATAGAATGTACTGAGCTCTGAAGTAAGTTCGGGACTTCTGAAGTCCATGCTGTCTTCTGAAATTGAGGATTGATGGGGCTGAAGACCCCAATGACTGCCCTTGGACATCTGACAATTTCACTGGACAAGCCTCAGGTAACCCTTAAAGTGACTAAGATTAATTTCTGTCTAAATCAGAAGTTAAGGTTGTTTCCAAAAGTACACTCATAGAAAATAAGACAAAACAGTAGTAAATGGGTTGGCTGACCATGTGGCAAAGAGGAAAGTGTAAGTCCTAGCTGGAGGGGAGACACCTCTACCAGCAGCTAAAAGCTTATAGCCACCCGGACTCTGTTCTCCATCCTTGCCCTCCTACACTCAGGAGAAGGAAAAATTGGCCCACAAACAGTAGGCTACTGGCAGATCTGAAGAATGGCTGCCGTTACCAGATGGTGGGCCAATAGTCCCTGAGGCCACTGAGCGAGTCATCATAGATCAGGTACACCAGATTACTCACCTGGGAAAAACAAAGCTTGCTAAATTGATTGGAACAAATACTTTGTGCCTAATCTAGATCGCCTTAGGAATGGGTTATCTCAAAATGTGTTGCTTGTATCAGGTAAATCCTAAACCCTGAGGCAAGGCTCCCTTAGGAATCCGCTCCTTTAGGAATCAAATCCTGGAGGAAAAGAAAAACTTGTGAAACATTAGGAAAATTTTTGGTGTCTAATAGGTCAGTCTCTAGATGAAATGAGGCTAGCTAATGTAGGACTAGCCTGGTTTTACTTTTCTTAGAAGAAAAACACCTTAAATAGCCTTGTTTCCATAAATAACTTAAAACAATAGTTAGACAAAAATTAGGTAAATGTAAATGGAATAAATGTTTGTAATTGAACTTGTCTGTTAAATTAAGGTAATTTTTAGGGTTAAACTTGTAAAGATAAAAACCAAGAGAATAAGATAAAGAATGAAGGAAGGATTATGGCTGTAAAAATGTATTTCTAGTGAAAAAGGTTAAAAGGAAAGGTTTTTATATAGAAGCAATTTTGTATAATAAAGTTATTGTTTTAAGATAGAATGGCTGGGACCAACAGTTAACATAATGGCTAGGTCGCTGGACTCCCAAGTAGTCGACCAGGGCTTGAGTCCCAGACCCATGGGCTTAAACTCATGCCAGGTGTGTGTGCGTTCATGCCCAAGATCCCAAGAGAAATGGAGGAGAAGGGATTGCGTTGTGGTCATCCCCCCTGGGGGGTGATTTCTCGCTTTCTGTCTCTCTGTCTCTCTCTGTCTTTCTGGTGAGCAAACACACCCTATAGCAAAAATCCTCTCCAAAAAAAAAAAATAGAATGGCTATCTCAGAACAGAAGAAAAAAAGGGACAAAAGCTAAAAGGTCTAAAGCATGTTGTTGAAGGTTTGAGTTATGTTACAAAAGTCTAAGAAAGAGTTGCAAAAATTAATCAAGTTAATGTTCTAAGGACAGTTGTACTAATATCTTTAAATTTTCTATATAGTAAAACAAATAAAAGAGAGGAGCCCCTCCAACTAGTCTAGGTGGGGCCTCACATAGTTGTACTGGCTATTCCTGCCACTCTTAAAGTTAGCCTGTAGCTCTGTCACACCAAGGCCAAGAGGACTGCTTCCACGGACTCACCAGGACTTTGGTCCATAAAAATAAACCAGGAAGGTCCTTTCTGACAATACTTCAGAGACCAGAGAATAACAGCTCTACTCTAGTCACTCCAGAGTTATCTACTCTAAGTCAGGCATTGTCAGGAATACGGCCCAGCAGCTCTATGACCAGATGGTCAGAAAAAGGACACGCTAGTGCTGACTCATGGGAAGGTTAGAGTGGCTTCTGGTAGTAGCTCCTTGGCCCTTGTCACTGTGAAGTCCTCTATTAACTGTGCTTCTAATTCTGACTTTCGGCTCTAGTTTACTCAGTTTTCTTATCCGATCTGTCTCCTAGACGATAAAAGCCATTAAATATTAAATGCTGGTTACCTCTATATCTACAACCTAAACATATCAGGCACTGTACCACCAGGGTGACCCACTTCAACAGATACTTGAAGAGATTCAAAAAAGGGGGAATGATATGCTTTCTGTTTTGCAAAAATACTTTGTTATTTCCAGAAGTACCTAACCAAATGCTATTCTGCTTCCGTAAACTGCTTGCGTTGCCTTGGGAAGTGTTGTATCACGACCTCCTGTAAGTGACTGAACCTAGTGGCTGTAAATCATGAATATTGGTCCAAGCCAGTCCAACCAGACACTCCCGCACATGAGCAACTGTGTCCAGCAACTGGAGACCAAGAAATCAGCCCAAGTCAGTTCAAACTGGACTTTAAATTCAGTGAAACGTCTTACCCCACCTTCTAGCTGATACTGAGGAGTCGATGATTTGATCCCCGTGAAAGAGAAGTGGGGAGTGAAGCAGTGAAGCAGGAGCACCTCCATTTTTAACTCCTCTCTATAGTGGAAACTAGCTTTCTCCTTTTGCCTAGAGTAAACAGAGTGATTAACATTCCGGCTGTCTTTGCTAAATAACCCAAAATTCCCTACCTTAAGATGTTCCTTAGTGATAGAATAATCAATCACCAAACCCCTTGCCCTAGCCATAAAGATTATTAAGATTCCATTGTGCTTAAGCAAAGGTCTAGAGATTATTGACCTGCTTGATCTGGCTTTTTTCTGTAACCACTTACACATAGGAATCTCCACTCCTTCCCCTTGTCACCTCTCCCTCAATGATTCCTGCCCCTGCTCTGTCAGCCCAAATGTGGGTTTTTGCCTTTATAAGCGTCTTTCTCCCTACACTCAGGGCTGTGGGGTTTTTGAGAGACATGAGTCCTCCTGCAGTTACTGGCCTATTACTCAATAAAACATCAATAAATTTGGTTATGTCTGGATGTCCTCTTATTTCTCGCTGGTTAGACTACAACACTGTCCCACCCCAGGCCCAGTAGAAGATACACTATGGATGTGTAGGTGGTCAGGGAAACTGGCCATGGAGGCCCAAGGACTTGGGATTGGTCTTCAGCTTTCCCACGAGGATCCTTCAGTCTGGGAGACTCCACAGAGGTGCAGCCTTCCTGGCCTTGATCCCACAAGCCATAGAGTCCCAGGGGCAAGATTGCCATCTGCTGGAAACCTGCTGTTCCCCAGCACTGTGCTGGGATCTTCTCCATGTCCTGTCCTATTTGAGCTTTATAGTAATGCCCTAAAATAGGACAGATTGCTTCCATTTTTAGGAGCAGAAAATGGTTCAGAGAGGTGAAGTAACTTCTCCAAGTTTACACAGCAAACAAGTGAAGACACTGCAGTCCAACCCAGACCTTTCTCTCTCATACACACCTTATCATCCCAGTACCCCACAAAGCCTCAAGTCCAATTCAAGAGAGTCCCTATAGCCTTCCTACCCTGACTTCAGACTTGGCCCAATAGTGCCCTCCCAAACCAGCTCACAGGCCCATCCCAGACACATCGCGCTGTACTGACTGGCCCCATCTCAGGCCCTACCATGGCTCCTGTGGTCAGTGGCCTTGGCTGACTCTGGCTTCTCCGGGAAGAAAGTCCTGGGCAATGGGAAGTGCTGGGACCTTGAAACTGGGCTGGTGCAGGGCTGACTCTGCAGCTGGTGCACACCAAGGGCCTTGGGGCCAGTAAAGCAGGTAAACAGTGTGGCCCAGGCTCCGCCCCAAGCAGGATCAAGGCTAGCATGCAAATAGGAGCTCAGGCTTGCCCCTCCCCCTTGCGGAAAAGGGGGGTGGTGGAAGGCAGGAAAGTGGAGGGGCAGAGTTCAAGTGGTGTCTATTCTGTTTCAGGAAGCTGCCTGAGCTTTGATCCTGACACCTTCAGGATTCTGGAGCTGGACATTGCCAGCCATAGGTCTGAGAAGGCTGGGTTGTAGTGTTCTTTGGGGAGTCTTAGGAGTGCCCCCTGGCTTGGAGGAGGGCCCACATGGCAGCTGAAGTGTGAGTCCCTGTGTGTATGACTCTACTCATCAGGTCTAGGGGATGAACAAACCAAGTTGGCACCTTTATTAGGGAGACAGGATGTCAGTAGCTGTAGCACAGGGGAAAAGTTAACAGTCCAAGCAACACCTTCTAGTGGAGGTCTCCCTTTCTCCAGATTCAAGCATTGAGGAGATGAGAAGGCTTTAGGGCAGACAGACCAGGTTTCTCCATCCATGCTTTGCCAGTTAACCTTTGTAAATCTGTTTCCTCTTCAATAAAATGGGAGCACTTCTGCCTAATTCTCAGGGCCAACATAAACTTACAGAAGATGTATGAGGGACGCCTCATCTGGGAGACAATCGGTGCTTAGAATGGTCACCAGCTCTTGCATCTGTCCTCCTACAGAGAGTTTGCTATGCTAGGGTCCTTGGGACACTTCTGTGTCCTTTGGCTCAGTGCCTGACACAGAACCAAAGTAATAACCACTCACCATCTTGGTGTATCAGATCTTTCTCAGCCAAGAGCTGGTGTCTAGTGGGAAACATGAGCAATAGCTCTGGAGTCTGGAGGAGGAATGAGGCCTGAGGCCAGATATACACATGAGAGGCCTAGAGAGGGGATTCAGAGGCACACCTGCATCCCCCAAATCAGGACAAGGGGTCTTCCAAAAGCTCATGGTAAATGCATACTATGAAAAACTATGTGTGGATTAAAATTATTTTTGTACTTGTACTTTAATTCCATTTGTCCACAAACTTTGAAGTCCTCTTGCATTTTCTGCTGCTGCATCCAAGTGCAAGTGTGTGTGTTTGCATATGTGTGTGTGTGTGTGTGTGTGTGTACAGGATTGCACTCTCAACTTCAACTGTAATGCTGTGAATTGGGGGAGGGGTGGTCACATAAGTCTGGCAGGTGAAGGTGATACTAATGATGAACATTCAGCAGTGTTCAGTTATGGAGAGGGGAGCCCCAGAGACAGATGAAGAGCCTGTGGAACACCAGGCCATTTAACCCAGCTAACTCTGGGGAAAGAGCTGAAACCCAAATCCCCATGTTGAATTGCAAAGTCCCAGTACCTTAGAATATGGCTATACTGGAAGTGAAGCCTTTACAGAGGTGATAAACAGGGCCAGACAGTGGTACACTGGTAAAATGTCACACTCTGCAAGGCACTCTTACATGGGAAAATTCACAGTTCAAGTTTTGAGACCTCTTTGGGTGTGCCAGGCAGGCACTTGCCTGGAGTCTATGGCTGACTGAGGGCTGAGCTTGCATGTTGGCATTGAGACCCTGTTGTGGTACACTCTCCCCCTCCTCTCTCTCTTTTACTTTCTCACTCATAGAAGAAAGAAATAAGCTTAAAAAATAAAAGAAGGAATTAGGTAAACTGAGGTCATGTCCAATATGACTGGTATCCTCATACAAAGAGACGAGGCTGCAGACACACAGAGAAGGGGAAGACCTCTTGCATGAAGACACTGGGAGAAGATGGATCTACAAGCCAAGGAGAGAGATCTCAAGGGGAGCAAGCCCTGCCAAACTTTGACCTGAGGTTTCCAGCCTTGAGCTGTGAGGAAGAAAATGTCTGTGTGTGAGTCATCTGATTGGCAACCCTGGCAGACTTGTATATCGGTGTCTACCATTCCAGAGGCTGATGTCCCAGTGAGACCTTCCTGAAAAAGAACAGTAAGACCAGGCTTCATCTTTCTGCATCTGTTCACTTGGGGTTGGCCCTTCAGCCCCCAGGGGGTAGGGCCTGCAGCTCCAGGGCCACCAGTTCCATTGCCAACTGAAGAGACCCGACAGGACCAAACTCCCTGCTGGGAAAGGCAGAGCTTGAGGCTGAGGAATGGACAGAGCTCCTATCAGGTTGGCTACTGTCTCATCTCACTATCCCAAATCAAGTCCTGGAAGGTACCCAGGGGTAGTGGCCAACACAAGAATGGGGTCAGTCTCAAGTCCCAGGAATAGAGAGGTGCATGGCAGGGAGGAGAGGGGAATGCTAGATATAGCCTGGTACCACCCCAAATCCATAACCACTTCCCACTCCGCCCTCAAACCCTGTTCCACAGCTCCAGGCAAAGCATGTTTTAACTCCCTACCCACAAATTTCTCTTTCAAGTACAGTTGAGTCTAAGTTTCCTCTATCCATTCTGAGTTTAGTGCTATGGGACCTGGGTGGGCCTGGCACTCCCCACAACCCCCTCTGCTGACATTTCCCAGAGCCTTGGCCCACACAGAGGTCTTCTTTCTTCACTCTGCATCTTGGATGGGATGTTTCTATCTTCACCCCAAACCAATCACATCCATCTTATAAATTGCCTTTATTGAAAGAAATGAAATTACATGAGAAGAAATTTAAAAATCAGCAAAAATCGTGTGCATCAGTTCATTCAATCTGTGTTTTTACCATCTTGTGATTGGGGTCAAGGATTTATTGTTTATCTTGTCTTGTCTGAAGGACTCAGCTTGTTCAATATTTGCTGAGTCTTAACTTTTTCAAACCTTTCTTGGCCAGAGAAATCGATATCGTTTTAGGAGTCACCAAAAAGCTTTTTTTTTTTTTTTAATTGTTTCCCCTTCCAGAGCTGTTTATCAATGAGAATGAGCTTCTTAATATACCATTTGTTCCTGATAACATAACACATTTCTTTGAAACACTTATCCTCTTACTGTGAATTTGTTTTAAAGAATGATTTTACTTTACTTATTTATTTTAATTTGACCAGAGAGGGACAGAGCAAGAAAGAGAAAGGAAAAGTGAGAAAGCAAGCTGCCAGGCCCAAGACTTGAACCATGGTTCGGCATGTGGGAGTCCAGCACTCTTAACCACCACGCCACCTGCCAGCCTCTTATTGTGAAAATTTTGAAGAGTATATAATGATTTCTGGTCTACAGATGTGACTTCCTTACCCTTCTCAGTCAGGTCATTCTCCTTAAAATACTAAGTGAGGTACAAAGTTCACTATTTTTTTCTTTTTTTAGATTTTTGCCATAGGCCAAGTGTGCTCACCAGAAAGAAACAGAGAGAAAAGGAAATTGAAAAATCATCTGCCAGGGAGGATTGGCCATACCATAATCCCTTCTCTTCCATCCTCCTCTCAGGATTTTGGGCATGCATCCACATGCACCCAGCATGGTTTTCAAGCCACCAGGGCTGGGACTTGAACTGTGAAATCAGTTATGTGGGATCCAGTGACTTAACCACCATGTCTCTCATTCAATATTTTTAAGGCAAAGTAGGATGAGACTGTCAAAAATAGTCCATGCCATTCAGAGTTCTTTCATCTGAACCCAGGATCATTGATAGTAGTAATCAACAAATATCCATCCCTCTAATGTAGTCAAACTGCAATAAATACCACTCTTTGGGGCTTTTTCGGGAATTCTCACGCTTTGAGTTGTATAAGCAAAGACTAGTTTCTGTCTCTGAAATTCTGACACCAGCCCAAATAGTCACAATGGCTTCCTAGTGATGGTATGCTTCATCCTTCCCTTTGGCACTAACATCATGGAAAACTGATGAACTGCTTAAGAAACAGAAGTTAGGAGCTAATCTATGAACTCTTAAAAATAGATGTTATTTTTAATTGATTGAAAAAATGAATTTACCGGCCAGCAGGTGGTGGGGTGTTTAAGATGCTAGATCCCACAGTTTGGGTCCTAGACCCGGAGGCTTGAAAAACACACTGGGCACATGTGCATGTGTGGCCCAACATCCTGAGAGGAGAATGGAGGAAAATGGATGGCAGCATGGTTATCCCCCTGGGGGGAGGGGGTGATTTCTTGCTTTCCCTCTCTCTCTGTCTCTCTTTCTGGTAAGCACATGTACCCTATGACAAAAATCTAAAATTAAAAATAAAGTTTAAAAAAGGAAAAAAGTGAGCTTACATCTGTTGGGGATCAGAGAATACACCAAAGTATATGGCATCTTATCAAGCTGAATACTGTAAAGGCAATGAGGAAGGCCTCAGAAGCGAGGCCCATCTAACCTGCTACCCTCTTGTCCACTGTCCTTTTCTCCCCCAAAGTGAAGGCAGGTCATAGAAACTTTTCCCCTAAAGCCAGCCATAAAACCCTAAGAGGTTACTCTCTTCCTTCTTGTTTAAAAATCCCCATTCTAGAAAGGCTCTGCTCCATACCGAGTAGGAGGAAATGTTACACACACACAGAGACCAAGAAGAACTAGAACAGACAGGTCTGGCTGGGTTTGCCCCCTTGGTCTGTTACCAGGCCCAGAGATCATACCCTTTGTTCAGCTTTCTATTCTTCTCAGCTGTCTATTCTTCATGAAGTCTAAGCATAAAAACAGAGTTGTCCTTGGGTCTTTATTTCTGAAAGCTCTTATGTCACATAAATGACATGGGAGCCTTGATATGTGTTTCTCTTGTTAATCTGTCTTTTAAGAGTATTAGCCATCACCCTTATGATGGCGAGAAAAGGTATTGTAACTTTCTGCCCCTGCATAACCTAAATCACAGAAAAGGAGACTTATTTGCAATCCTCTATGAAGGATTGGTATACAGAATATACAAAGAACCAAGTCAATAATGACAAAACAAGCAAACACATAAAAAAAATAAATTAAAAAATGGACTTGAACAGACATTTCTTCGAAAAAGATATACAAATGGCCATTAAACATAGAAATGATTGTTAACATCCCTAAACATCAGGAAAATGCAAGTAAGACTACAATGAGACATACTTCACACCCACTACGATGGCA